TTCACGTCCTCTCATACTGCTCCTCACACTCCCCAATTTCAATACGTACCCTCAGACTAGTCAAAAACCTATCAAGGACTGAACATAACAGTTGTTTGCAACGATGTATTGGCGCTGTACTTACAAGGGAAAGAGCTGACTCGTAGTACCATTTTATGGAATGGACAAAATTCAGCCACTTTCAATGTAGGGTCAGTTGCTATGGTTAGGAATTAGCATTAAGGAACACTTTGTAGGAATGTGGATTTCGTTTCAAATCTCAAAAGCATTTGTCACCCTGGAAAAATCAGGTCTAAGGTTATATTCATTTCATCCACTAATAAATGCAGTCCTGAGAACTTGTTCCCTAGACATTATATGGCTTTAATTTTGCAGGATAATTTTAAGTCACTTACTTTTGTTTCCCTATTGTGGTCCTATCATTTTGACCTGATAAATCACATAGTTATGAAGAAAACGTCACATTTTTGTATGTATATGCTTCTCTTGAATAAGTCTTAAGACGAAACTAGTACCATTAATCTGTGATCCTCTGATTCATAGTCATGTCATTTCAAATATCTAACTCCGACTCCTATCACAGAATGCGCCATTTTCTGAATGTAAAACTTGCGTATGAGTAATATTAATTGACGTTTGCATAATGTTACCACAAATTTATAGAAAAAGCACGTTTGAAGACCAGGAAATATCCACACTTCTCCAAGCGTATGAGTTGGTCGTTACATAATGCCACATATTCGTTGTAAATTTGAACAGGATACCTAAACAGCTATATTAAACAGACTTACACCTATCATCTTTGGTGGAGGAGCATAGGGCATCCACCAGGATTCTCTATTTAACTTTGTCCTGGGCAGTCCTTTTGATTTCCTAGTTTCTGTTCATTCTTCTGGTATCTGTATCTTTTCCCTTTTCCTTGAAGATTCCAAGTTACAGCTTGACTTGTGATGCAGTTTGGTGATGTCCTTAGTGTGATCTATCCGTCTTCAGCATCTTTTTCTAATTCCTTTCTCAGCTATAAACTGGTTTCTTCTATACCAGAATACTGATGGTGTCTGGCCAACAGATCTGGAGTATCTTGCATAGACAACTATTGGTAAATACCTGTACCATCTTGATGATGGTTGTGTAGTTGCTATACAATTTTCAGCCCCGTACAGCAGAACTGTCTTGACATTTGTATTGAAGATTCTGACTTTGATGTTGTCATTCAGTCAGTCAGTCAGCTACAACGTAGGACCAGGCACATATATGTGCATCGGTCCAAGTTGCCATACCTCATTAACACAACAAAATGGACACCGGACTCATAGGAGTGGTTAGGTCGAAGGTTGCAATAAGGATATAGTATAGGAAGAAAGAATTAGTTCGTAGAAAGAAAGATATGAAGTGATTTTAATCTCTTAGTTTAAGGGAAGACAGGGAGTGTATACACCGACGCCATTGTGATCGATTCTGAGCCATGTCGCCAAGAGTCTCCAACCATTGGTTACGAAAGTCACGCGGACCCCAACCAAGTAGTCTGCATCTACCAACATGGCTCAGACTAGAAGTTAGTGACTTCAGGCACTGATGCCACGTTTTGGTTTGGCCGCCCCTAACTTTCTTCCAACCATCCCGAACGCTGGTTAGCATTGCACGTCGTGGTAATAGGTGTTCAGGCATACGTAATACGTGGCCCAACCATCTCAGTCGATGAAGATTCATAACCTCATCAACTGATTTACCATCATTCCCTAATACCCTGCGTCTAACCTCACTATTACTTACCCGGTGATCCCAGCAGATGCCAGCAATATTTCTAAGGCATCTGTGGTCAAATACTAGTAGCTTACGAGTGTCTTCTACTCTTAAAGGCCATGTTTCGCTGCCGTAAAGTAAGACAGAACGGACTGCCGCGCAGTATACTCGTCCTTTTATTGATAGACGGATATCTCGCCTTCGCCAAAGGTGACGTAAGTTGGCAAAAGCCAAGCGAGCTTTTCGAATCCGTGCTGAGATTTCGTCAGACACCAACCCATTAGGGCTGATCAGACTTCCAAGATAAGTGAAGTTGTCAACGCGTTCGACTACTTCACTCCCTATCCTTAGTTCAGGTGTTGACGCAGACCAGTCCTGAAGCAACAACTTGCATTTAGAGGGAGAGAAGCGCATCCCAAACATTCTGGCATTGTTGCTTAGTGCTACCAGAAGACTCTGCATTTTGTCAGCGTCTTCACCAAACAGGACTATGTCATCTGCGTATTCTAAGTCGATAAGTGGACCTCCTGGAAGGAGATCAATACCCGAGAATTCAGTCGACGAGAGTGTTATTTCCATCAATAGGTCTATGATGAAGTTAAACAAAAATGGAGAAAGTGGACAGCCTTGACGGACACCACTTGAAGTTGCAAAAGTAGATGACAGTTCGCCATAAGCCATGACTCGACTAGTAGTGTTCGAGTAAAGAGCCTTCACAAGGTTTATGTACTTCTGAGGTACGCAAGGCGATTTTGGTTGCGTTTGATATATCTCAGGGTACTTAACAAGTATTTATTAATGGTATGGATGGGTCGTGCGTTTTACTGTGACTGGAGATAATCCACAAGCAAGTCTATACAAGAGATTGGTATAGAAACATCTGCAACAACGAAGATTCAGCGGATGGGTTTGAGTATATTCACGTTAAGATGCACGTTTCGCTTACCGTAAAAGTCACTTGGTTTCCCATTTTTGGTCTGTAAGTTGAAAACTGCCTAATGCGATCGGTAGTTAGAATTCTCAGGAAGAACGCCCACTTCGGCATCGAGGTCGACAAGGTAGTGAACGTTCCTCATCTCATCAGTAATGCATAGCAGATGGCTATGTTCGCTGGCTAGGTTCGCCTTTATCGCGTGCAGAGTGGGAAACTGCAGGGCGTTCTGGAATTTCGAGATGTTCCGTGCTGATCATGATACTAGCATCAATCAGGGTCATTTACCTCTCGTGATCTAAAGATAGATAGATTTCGTGAAATACTGTTTCGAGAAGTTTGGGATCGTTTACGGTCATGACGAATACTAAGGTTACATGTCAGCGTACGGCACGTCACTCGATGTCGTTAGAGGTTTTACTTCGACTGAAATACATCGACGTTAGAAGTCCTGGTGACCTCCAGAGTTCGGCCGGCAGATGCAGCCAGCCCATCTACAGCGTTGTTTCGAAACGAGACAAGAATTGCCTGCACCTGTTGGGGAAGTTTAGACAAGAAAAGTTGTCTAAACAGGCGATCGTCGAATGTCCGCTGACCACTGATCTTCATTAGTAACAATATGTTCGCTGGTGAGCCAAATTGTAGATCAATGCTACTAAGGAGTTGATCTAAACTTTTTCGGTCGGCTAGATCGCCGCGTTCAAGAATAGACCTTTTCAGGATTCCATAGGGCTCCGAAACCGCTAGTAAATATACTAAATGTGACCTACCTGTTGAGTTCGCACGAAAGTGCTTTCATCACTGAGAGGGAATGTGCACGTTGACCAGTCACGTTGTGCCCCTGTAAATCAGCCCCCGCGTAGTAGAACCAGGCTTCGATGTTGTTGTGCCAGAATGGCATTGGCTGAAATGAGGGTGGCGTAAGAAGCCTGATCTTATATAATTTAGGAGTCTGTTCGGTCACGATGAATACAAAGTACAGCAGTGAACGGGGAAAAAAGCCACAAATACGAAAAAAGTATCAAAAATATCAAAATTAGGGTTGCAATTGTTTCATAAAGTTCCAAAAACAAACGGACTCGCAGTTCACGAATATGTGTACCAGATCACATCAGGCTCACCACTGAACTTGACGCTAGTATTCGGAGTTTGACAACACCGTAACCAGTAACACCTTTTGTAATCTAAACGTGTAAACTCAGATAAATCAGAAGTCAGAAGCGAAGACGTTCGAAGATATATTTGATAGAAAATCGATATATCGAGAAGTGACTAATCTAAGCTGGCTAACGGTTGTAGGAGAAGTTGAGAACGACATAGCCCTCGTGATCTGGTTGGTTGTTTCAGAACCTATAGTTTAATTCAGGAGCCCAGTTTATTTTCAGGATGAAAGATTATAGATTTTTCCAATCAGAATTCGCCAAATGTTATGTCCAGTTTATGTAATCCAGTCATAAATACATGTTATTGAATAGAAATGGCCTCATTTTCTATGGAGTACATATATTTTTTAAATCGGTTCAGCCCAGTAAACTTCACTCTTCTCTCTTAGTCGTCTCACTTAGCTGACTGAGGGCTTAAAAATAGGACGTCTGTGCTTCAGTATCAGAATCGAACACCGTAAACATAACAGCCTGATTAAGGATAATCACGAACTAAGTGAAGATGCCACAGGTGTTTGGAGTTTGACAACGCCTTTACACCTAAAACTATTATAATCGAAGTACATCGAACCCGGTCAAGCTCGAAATGAAGTGGACCGACGATATATATATGGAACGCCATAGATATGTCGCGAGGTATTTGATCTAAGGTGGGTAACAGTTGCTGAGTATGCTTAGCACGGAGTACCCACTCGTGATCTGGTACGGATGCATGAACGAGCGCATCTAGCTAGGTGGTCCCAGTAAAACTAATGCGGTCGCATCAATGTCAAAGACTGTCAGAATTTTTTGTTTTGCGGACTTATTTACCGTTACAGATTTCTCACAAAAGTTCGTGCAAACTTTCTCTTGGTCAAATTAACAAAGATATGTGCCGCTTACCAAAGACAATAGTAAGGACACATCATTCAGAGCCTTTCAAAAGAGGTCGATGTTTACTTGAACTCTGTAGGCCCTGAAGTTAATGGGCTCGAATGTTACTTTATGATTACTTCTGCTACAACTTACTGACTTGTGTTACCCTTCAGTTTGAAACTGAGCATAGCGTAGACGGTACGTTTCTATAACCAGAAATGCCCTCTTACTATTCAGACTTAGATCCCAAGTACCAAATAGTACACTAACTCAACTAAACATAGTTTGTCATTTGAAGCTGTAACAGAGTTGTGGGGAGGGGGTTTCGAGAAGTCAGGGTGCAGTTCACGCTACCAACTTCTACTTTTGATTATCAGATTGTCTAATTATCATTTTTAGTTGTTTTTGATTGCTTCCATTACTAGACATAAGTGCATTCTATGTACCTACTGAGTCTTTTTGGATTACTTTTCTTCACGTCCTCTCATACTGCTCCTCACACTCCCCAATTTCAATACGTACCCTCAGACTAGTCAAAAACCTATCAAGGACTGAACATAACAGTTGTTTGCAACGATGTATTGGCGCTGTACTTACAAGGGAAAGAGCTGACTCGTAGTACCATTTTATGGAATGGACAAAATTCAGCCACTTTCAATGTAGGGTCAGTTGCTATGGTTAGGAATTAGCATTAAGGAACACTTTGTAGGAATGTGGATTTCGTTTCAAATCTCAAAAGCATTTGTCACCCTGGAAAAATCAGGTCTAAGGTTATATTCATTTCATCCACTAATAAATGCAGTCCTGAGAACTTGTTCCCTAGACATTATATGGCTTTAATTTTGCAGGATAATTTTAAGTCACTTACTTTTGTTTCCCTATTGTGGTCCTATCATTTTGACCTGATAAATCACATAGTTATGAAGAAAACGTCACATTTTTGTATGTATATGCTTCTCTTGAATAAGTCTTAAGACGAAACTAGTACCATTAATCTGTGATCCTCTGATTCATAGTCATGTCATTTCAAATATCTAACTCCGACTCCTATCACAGAATGCGCCATTTTCTGAATGTAAAACTTGCGTATGAGTAATATTAATTGACGTTTGCATAATGTTACCACAAATTTATAGAAAAAGCACGTTTGAAGACCAGGAAATATCCACACTTCTCCAAGCGTATGAGTTGGTCGTTACATAATGCCACATATTCGTTGTAAATTTGAACAGGATACCTAAACAGCTATATTAAACAGACTTACACCTATCATCTTTGGTGGAGGAGCATAGGGCATCCACCAGGATTCTCTATTTAACTTTGTCCTGGGCAGTCCTTTTGATTTCCTAGTTTCTGTTCATTCTTCTGGTATCTGTATCTTTTCCCTTTTCCTTGAAGATTCCAAGTTACAGCTTGACTTGTGATGCAGTTTGGTGATGTCCTTAGTGTGATCTATCCGTCTTCAGCATCTTTTTCTAATTCCTTTCTCAGCTATAAACTGGTTTCTTCTATACCAGAATACTGATGGTGTCTGGCCAACAGATCTGGAGTATCTTGCATAGACAACTATTGGTAAATACCTGTACCATCTTGATGATGGTTGTGTAGTTGCTATACAATTTTCAGCCCCGTACAGCAGAACTGTCTTGACATTTGTATTGAAGATTCTGACTTTGATGTTGTCATTCAGTCAGTCAGTCAGCTACAACGTAGGACCAGGCACATATATGTGCATCGGTCCAAGTTGCCATACCTCATTAACACAACAAAATGGACACCGGACTCATAGGAGTGGTTAGGTCGAAGGTTGCAATAAGGATATAGTATAGGAAGAAAGAATTAGTTCGTAGAAAGAAAGATATGAAGTGATTTTAATCTCTTAGTTTAAGGGAAGACAGGGAGTGTATACACCGACGCCATTGTGATCGATTCTGAGCCATGTCGCCAAGAGTCTCCAACCATTGGTTACGAAAGTCACGCGGACCCCAACCAAGTAGTCTGCATCTACCAACATGGCTCAGACTAGAAGTTAGTGACTTCAGGCACTGATGCCACGTTTTGGTTTGGCCGCCCCTAACTTTCTTCCAACCATCCCGAACGCTGGTTAGCATTGCACGTCGTGGTAATAGGTGTTCAGGCATACGTAATACGTGGCCCAACCATCTCAGTCGATGAAGATTCATAACCTCATCAACTGATTTACCATCATTCCCTAATACCCTGCGTCTAACCTCACTATTACTTACCCGGTGATCCCAGCAGATGCCAGCAATATTTCTAAGGCATCTGTGGTCAAATACTAGTAGCTTACGAGTGTCTTCTACTCTTAAAGGCCATGTTTCGCTGCCGTAAAGTAAGACAGAACGGACTGCCGCGCAGTATACTCGTCCTTTTATTGATAGACGGATATCTCGCCTTCGCCAAAGGTGACGTAAGTTGGCAAAAGCCAAGCGAGCTTTTCGAATCCGTGCTGAGATTTCGTCAGACACCAACCCATTAGGGCTGATCAGACTTCCAAGATAAGTGAAGTTGTCAACGCGTTCGACTACTTCACTCCCTATCCTTAGTTCAGGTGTTGACGCAGACCAGTCCTGAAGCAACAACTTGCATTTAGAGGGAGAGAAGCGCATCCCAAACATTCTGGCATTGTTGCTTAGTGCTACCAGAAGACTCTGCATTTTGTCAGCGTCTTCACCAAACAGGACTATGTCATCTGCGTATTCTAAGTCGATAAGTGGACCTCCTGGAAGGAGATCAATACCCGAGAATTCAGTCGACGAGAGTGTTATTTCCATCAATAGGTCTATGATGAAGTTAAACAAAAATGGAGAAAGTGGACAGCCTTGACGGACACCACTTGAAGTTGCAAAAGTAGATGACAGTTCGCCATAAGCCATGACTCGACTAGTAGTGTTCGAGTAAAGAGCCTTCACAAGGTTTATGTACTTCTGAGGTACGCAAGGCGATTTTGGTTGCGTTTGATATATCTCAGGGTACTTAACAAGTATTTATTAATGGTATGGATGGGTCGTGCGTTTTAATGTGACTGGGGATAATCCACAAGCAGGTCTATACAAGAGATTGGTATAGAAACATCTGCAACAACGAAGATTCAGCGGATGGGTTTGAGTATATTCACGTTAAGATTCACGTTTCGCTTACCGTAAAAGTCACTTGGTTTCCCATTTTTGGTCTGTAAGTTGAAAACTGCCTAATGCGATCGGTAGTTAGAATTCTCAGGAAGAACGCCCACTTCGGCATCGAGGTCGACAAGGTAGTGAACGTTCCTCATCTCATCAGTAATGCATAGCAGATGGCTATGTTCGCTGGCTAGGTTCGCCTTTATCGCGTGCAGAGTGGGAAACTGCAGGGCGTTCTGGAATTTCGAGATGTTCCGTGCTGATCATGATACTAGCATCAATCAGGGTCATTTACCTCTCGTGATCTAAAGATAGATCGATTTCGTGAAATACTGCTTCGAGAAGTTTGGGATCGTTTACGGTCATGACGAATACTAAGGTTACATGTCAGCGTACGGCACGTCACTCGATGTCGTTAGAGGTTTTACTTCGACTGAAATACATCGACGTTAGAAGTCCTGGTGACCTCCAGAGTTCGGCCGGCAGATGCAGCCAGCCCATCTACAGCGTTGTTTCGAAACGAGACAAGAATTGCCTGCACCTGTTGGGGAAGTTTAGACAAGAAAAGTTGTCTAAACAGGCGATCGTCGAATGTCCGCTGACCACTGATCTTCATTAGTAACAATATGTTCGCTGGTGAGCCAAATTGTAAATCAATGCTACTAAGGAGTTGATCTAAACTTTTTCGGTCGGCTAGATCGCCGCGTTCAAGAATAGACCTTTTCAGGATTCCATAGGGCTCCGAAACCGCTAGTAAACATACTAAATGTGACCTACCTGTTGAGTTCGCACGAAAGTGCTTTCATCACTGAGAGGGAATGTGCACGTGGACCAGTCATGTTGTGCCCCTGTAAATCAGCCCCCGCGTAGTAGAACCAGGCTTCGATGTTGTCGTGCCAGAATGGCATTGGCTGAAATGAGGGTGGCGTAAGAAGCCTGATCTTATATAATTTAGGAGTCTGTTCGGTCACGATGAATACAAAGTACAGCAGTGAACGGGGAAAAAAGCCACAAATACGAAAAAAGTATCAAAAAATATCAAAATTAGGGTTGCAATTGTTTCATAAAGTTCCAAAAACAAACGGACTCACAGTTCACGAATATGTGTACCAGATCACATCAGGCTCACCACTGAACTTGACGCTAGTATTCGGAGTTTGACAACACCGTAACCAGTAACACCTTTTGTAATCTAAACGTGTAAACTCAGATAAATCAGAAGTCAGAAGCGAAGACGTTCGAAGATATATTTGATAGAAAATCGATATATCGAGAAGTGACTAATCTAAGCTGGCTAACGGTTGTAGGAGAAGTTGAGAACGACATAGCCCTCGTGATCTGGTTGGTTGTTTCAGAACCTATAGTTTAATTCAGGAGCCCAGTTTATTTTCAGGATGAAAGATTATAGATTTTTCCAATCAGAATTCGCCAAATCTTATGTCCAGTTTATGTAATCCAGTCATAAATACATGTTATTGAATAGAAATGGCCTCATTTTCTATGGAGTACATATATTTTTTAAATCGGTTCAGCCCAGTAAACTTCACTCTTCTCTCTTAGTCGTCTCACTTAGCTGACTGAGGGCTTAAAAATAGGACGTCTGTGCTTCAGTATCAGAATCGAACACCGTAAACATAACAGCCTGATTAAGGATAATCACGAACTAAGTGAAGATGCCACAGGTGTTTGGAGTTTGACAACACCTTTACACCTAACACTATTATAATCGAAGTACATCGAACCCGGCCAAGCTAGAAATGAAGTGGATCGACGATATATATATATATATATATATATATATATATATATATATATATATATATATATATATATATATATGGAACGCTATAGATATTTCGCGAAGTATTTGATCTAAGGTGGGTAATACTTGCTGAGTATGTTTAACACGGAGTACCCACTCGTGATCTGGTACGGATGCATGAACGAGCGCATCTAGCTAGGTGGTCCCAGTAAAACTAATGCGGTCGCATCAATGTCAAAGACTGTCAGAATTTTTTGTTTTGCGGACTTATTTACCGTTACAGATTTCTCACAAAAGTTCGTGCAAACTTTCTCTTGGTCAAAATAACAAAGATATGTGCCGCTTACCAAAGACAATAGTAAGGACACATCATTCAGAGCCTTTCAAAAGAGCTCGATGTTTACTTGAACTCTGTAGGCCCTGAAGTTAATGGGCTCGAATGTTACTTTATGATTACTTCTGCTACAACTTACTGACTTGTGTTACCCTTCAGTTTGAAACTGAGCATAGCGTAGACGGTACGTTTCTATAACCAGAAATGCCCTCTTACTATTCAGACTCAGATCCCAAGTACCAAATAGTACACTAACTCAACTAAACATAGTTTGTCATTTGAAGCTGTAACAGAGTTGTGGGGAGGGGGTTTCGAGAAGTCAGGGTGCAGTTCACGCTACCAACTTCTACTTTTGATTATCAGATTGTCTAATTATCATTTTTAGTTGTTTTTGATTGCTTCCATTACTAGACATAAGTGCATTCTATGTACCTACTGAGTCTTTTTGGATTACTTTTCTTCACGTCCTCTCATCCAGATTCTCATACTGCTCCTCACACTCCCCAATTTCAATACGTACCCTCAGACTAGTCAAAAATCTATCAAGGACTGAACATAACAGTTGTTTGCAATGATGTATTGGCGTTGTACTTACAAGGGAAAGAGCTGACTAGTAGTACCATTTTATGGAATGGACAAAATTCAGCCACTTTCAATGTAGGGTCAGTTGCTATGGTTAGGAATTAGCATTAAGGAACACTTTGTAGGAATGTGGGTTTCATTTCAAATCTCAAAAGCATTTTTCACCCTGGAAAAATCAGGTCTAAGGTTATATTCATTTCATTCACTAATAAATGCAGTCCTGAGAACTTGTTCCCTAGATATTATCTGGCTTTAATTTTGCAGGATAATTTTAAGTCACTTACTTTTGTTTCCCTATTGTGGTCCTATCATTTTGACCTGATAAATCACATAGTTATGAAGAAAACGTCACATTTTTGTATGTATATGCTTCTCTTGAATAAGTCTTAAGACGAAACTAGTACCATTAATCTATGATCCTCTGATTCATAGTCATGTCATTTCAAATGTCTAACTCCGACTCCTATCACAGAATGCGCCATTTTCTGAATGTAAAACTTGCGTATGAGTAATATTAATTGACGTTTGCATAATGTTAGTCACCACAAATTTATAGAAAAAGCACGTTTGAAGACCAGGAAATATCCACACTTCTCCAAGCGTATGAGTTGGTCGTTACATAATGCCACATATTCGTTGTAAATTTGAACAGGATACCTAAACAGCTATATTAAACAGACTTACACCTATCATCTTTGGTGGAGGAGCATAGGGCACCCACCAGGATTCTCTATCGAACTCTGTCCTGTGCAGTCCTTTTTGATTTCCTAGTTTCTGTTCATTCTTCTGGTGTCTGCGTCTTTCCCATTTACCTTGAAGATTCTAAGTTACAGCTTGACTTGTGATGCAGTTTGGTGATGTCCTTAGTGTGATCTATCCGTCTTCAGCATCTTTTTCTAATTCCTTTCTCAGCTATAAACTGGTTTCTTCTATACCAGAATACTGATGGTGTCTGGCCAACAGATCTGGAGTATCTTGCATAGACAACTATTGGTAAATACCTGTACCATCTTGATGATGGTTGTGTAGTTTCTATACAATTTTCAGCCCCGTACAGCAGAACTGTCTTGACATTTGTATTGAAGATTCTGACTTTGATGTTGTCATTCAGTCAGTCAGTCAGCTACAACGTAGGACCAGGCACATATATGTGCATCGGTCCAAGTTGCCATACCTCATTAACACAACAATATGGACACCGGATTCATAGGAGTGGTTAGGTCGAAGGTTGCAATAAGGATATAGTATAGGAAGAAAGAATTAGTTCGTAGAAAGAAAGATATGAAGTGATTTTAATCTCTTAGTTTAAGGGAAGACAGGGAGTGTATACACCGACGCCATTGTGATCGATTCTGAGCCATGTCGCCAAGAGTCTCCAACCATTGGTTACGAAAGTCACGCGGACCCCAACCAAGTAGTCTGCATCTACCAACATGGCTCAGACTAGAAGTTAGTGACTTCAGGCACTGATGCCACGTTTTGGTTTGGCCGCCCCTAACTTTCTTTCAACCATCCCGAACGCCGGTTAGCATTGCACGTCGTGGTAATAGGTGTTCAGGCATACGTAATACGTGGCCCAACCATCTCAGTCGATGAAGATTCATAACCTCATCAACTGATTTACCATCATTACCTAATACCCTGCGTCTAACCTCACTATTACTTACCCGGTGATCCCAGCAGATGCCAGCAATATTTCTAAGGCATCTGTGGTCAAATACTAGTAGCTTACGAGTGTCTTCTACTCTTAAAGGCCATTTTTCGCTGCCGTAAAGTAAGACAGAACGGACTGCCGCGCAGTATACTCGTCCTTTTATTGATAGACGGATATCTCGCCTTCGCCAAAGTTGACGTAAGTTGGCAAAAGCCAAGCGAGCTTTTCGAATCCGTGCTGAGATTTCGTCAGACACCAACCCATTAGGGCTGATCAGACTTCCAAGATAAGTGAAGTTGTCAACGCGTTCGACTACTTCACTCCCTATCCTTAGTTCAGGTGTTGACGCAGACCAGTCCTGAAGCAACAACTTGCATTTAGAGGGAGAGAAGCGCATCCCAAACATTCTGGCATTGTTGCTTAGTGCTACCAGAAGACTCTGCATTTTGTCAGCGTCTTCACCAAACAGGACTATGTCATCTGCGTATTCTAAGTCGATAAGTGGACCTCCTGGAAGGAGATCAATACCCGAGAATTCAGTCGACGAGAATGTTATTTCCATCAGTAGGTCTATGATGAAGTTAAACAAAAATGGAGAAAGTGGACAGCCTTGACGGACACCACTTGAAGTTGCAAAAGTAGATGACAGTTCGCCATAATCCATGACTCGACTAGTAGTGTTCGAGTAAAGAGCCTTCACAAGGTTTATGTACTTCTGAGGTACGCCTTTCAATGACAGACACTGCCACAGAATCTCGCGATCTACAGAGTCAAATGCTGCTTTTAAGTCGAGAAAGACCACCACTGTCGGACGCCGATAAGTCTTTGATGTTGGCTGAAAGTTGTTTTTAGTTCTAGATTTTTTTTACCTGTAGGAATGGTGCAAATTTCCTTAATCGGACTTGAGAACGGCAGTAATCCTGGGACATTATTAGTTTATTTAAACACAAACATTGGTACAAGGAGTTACCAAATACATATGCGCCATATAAATCATTCGGTTTGTGTGAGGGCTGAAATACTACCCGTGTTCCTAAATCGAGGCAGGCGGTTTTCTTACGGGGCCACACCCGGAGCCTTTGACCTAAAAGTCTGATCCACAAGGCAATGAAGCGACGTCAGCAGATGCAATCCCATGGTAGCCGGCAACCAACGATTGTTTCATACGCCATTTGTTGCCTCAACACCGTGGAGCCCAAGTGCACCAATGGTTTGGAGACCGAGTTTTCCGACTCCTCTAGGTGGACTCTCCACGTCCACCGGCCCGGTTAGAGCGCCGGACAGTCGCTTTTCGTCCGCTCAGTTTCGTAAACAGCACCCCCACTACGAGATGGTAGTAATTAGAACTTCCCTGGCAGTGGTGTATGCACGTGGCCATGTGAGAGCATTTCGGGGAGATCTGACTCTCCCCACTCTCGGCCGTACCAGGACATTAGGGGGTCTAGGATAGCTGCAGGTGGATTTATAACAAACAGACAGCTGAATTACATTATGAACAAATGTCCCGTTGTAACCTTTTGACCTCACGTATCACAGTTGTCCAAAGTTTTTTCGTTCCGACCATGATGTTTACCACAAAGTCTTTATTGAATATATCTCTTCACATGATTGGTAATAAATTACATGCTTAAATCTTTTCATCTGTGAACGTAATAACAATCTTGTCATTGACGAGAAATTTTAAGTTCCTAGGTAGAGTTACTGTATACTACAAGTTCCTTTTTGATTTCATTGTTTTTAAGTAATCTATGTATTCGTTATTATATTGAAAAAAAGGTTTGCTTTTTGTATTCACAACTACTTGTTTCGGTACATTTTAGCTGATATTAAGTCCACTGACAAATAACACAAAACTTATACTATCACAGAAATGAATAAGATAATTCTGAGTCAGCATAAAATTACTTTACATTCATCACGTCATATCCTAACTAAAATATCAAGAAGCTATCAGTTTAATAAGAACTCAAGAAGCAGTGGTTTCAGCCAGCCACCAGGTTATATTCCGCCACATATCTGGATGAAATCGAGACCAGGAAGGGAAGATTTGAAAACATCCATATTCGGTGTTGATGAAAAAAAACCCACTGTGGATGAAAAAAGTTACTTATCACATGCCGCTCATGCCTCTCTATCCGGTTTCCCTGTGACAGAGAACTTTTCTTATGAAATTGTTAATAATGTAAGTTAATCGTAAGTTTCATATAATTTACTGAACAAGTTCACTGCTTTGTGTTACAATCATTTCTCTGTACTTCGACAGTTTCACAGTTTAAACACCTATTTCTACATCCAAAAATTTCACTACCATATTTTACATCTCAGTAACAAATTAGCTTTTTTTATCTACAAACAAACCGACAAGTGATTGCTACGTTGCAAAGGGTGTGTTTGAATTTTTTCAGATAATAAAAAGCAACCTTTCCTAGACTGGCAAAAAACATCAACCGAGGCTTGCACAGAAGACCATTGGTTTACACCTACGTTTCAGAACGCTGAAAAAACAAGAGTAATAAACCAAAAAAAGAAACTAAGTATAAGTAATAGTCTTTAGAATTGAAGGGAAATAAAGAACTTAATCCCAGGTAAATTTCTCAAATTCATCTGTTACGTTTGCATTTGCTTGGAGTTGTATTACTTAAAGTATCAATCTATTCTCCGGCACTACACATTGGGAACCAGAAACTTATGACTGTATACACCAAACCCTCGGTACGAACTGACCTCCTTTTTTATTTTTGACCGTTAGCATATCGCTTTGGGAGAGTGGTTTGGCACATGTCCCATCCAACACTACGGTTGATGCTAGTTCGAAACGTCTTTCACTGACTTGTCATCGTCGATAAGATATATATAGCTAGGCTTAATATTACTTACCTGATCGCTTCATCATTTCCTAATGCCGTATCGACATTCATAGTGACATGTCTAACTAATTACTTTTTTAACCATCTGTCAATTATTGTCTTTAGGTATGGCATTTACTATCCTCCTAAATACAGAGTAATTCTCCAAGACTGGTGGGAGCCTTTATCTGAATTCGTTGTGGTGAGCTGTTAGAAATAGGCGAAAAGCTCCTTTATTTGAGTTGGTGCTGGTGGGATGACAGATAAAACCAGTCTACGAATATTAAAAACTAGAGCAGTCTATGGCAGTCTGGACCATCTTTGGCGCCGTCGTAATGTTAGTCTAGTTACAAAACCTTGGGTTTACAACACCTCGATGAGAGCAGTTTTGTTCTGTGTCTGTGAAACCTGTTCTCCGGACTTTGATGTTAGGCAACTCTCTGCGTTCGGTTATCTTTATCTCTGAAGGATTACTGACTTTTAGTGGTAACATCAAGTTAATAATTCTGAGCTTCAGCGATGTGTGTTCAGGGTTGGTGAAGATAGTTTGGTTAGTGTCATCACCTAGGGACCCCGACTTCAGTGGCTTAAACGTATTCTGTGGATGTCACTCTAGACTTCTACATCAAACTGCTTTCCGATACTAGAATAGGGTGAAAAATTCAAAAGGAACTTTACTTTATGACATTTCCCCAGTGTGTGAAAGGAAGCTGTTGGTCTACATATCTCTTTACAACACAGCACCTTGAGACGTTGCCAGACATGGGTCATAGTAAAAACCAATTAAAGTGCTTCTGTAGTTTCCTCCTACTTAAAACTAAGAGAAACTCCCTCAAGAGGTTTCTTGGTTGTATTGTTAACTAAAGTGTATTCCCTATTATTCTTGATTGTTCTCTTTTTGGCTGTACTCCCTTTCCATCTTTTATTTCTGTAATTAGAAATTGCAGTTCAATCAATATCACTTGATAATATTCATCAATAGGGACCGTAAAATATTTCTTTATTCCAAGTACACTATTCTGTCTACGCCTAGCGTCCTAAGCGTTGGCTAACGATTCTCTTCTGCCAAAATCAACATTGAGTTGAGGCTCAGATAGTTTTAAATCCTGATTGTCAGGAACATTACCAGCAAGGTTGGGTTAATAATAGTATCAGTAATAGTAAGAACACTCAACAAAGGAGATATAGTTAAAAAAACAAGCAATAAAAAGCATGAAATAACATTAGAAATTGAATCAAAATGAAGTGAATAATGCGTCAGTGTAAATGATTTTGAGTCATCACGCAACAATCGGCCACTGTTATCGTATGGATAGCATCCATTTATTCTGCAGCTACCGATTACTATTCAGACCAATAGTCACTAATTTCACGGACTGATATTTCTTCCTTTGATTCCCCTGGCCTCATTCCAACTTATGCTAGGCAGCATTCGGTATTGAGAGAAGTGATGAATAACGCGTAAAATATGTTCTACCTCCCCAGAATGATAGATATTTAGTCTCACCAACCATTTTCCTTTATATACGTCAAGCCTCAGCTTTGCTCACTTTGTTGCTCCATCACATATAAGCGACGGTTTGAAGTTGCATGTCACTTTCAGGTCATGGAATATGATTACAGTTTAGTGTAGGCACATATACCTGTGTCCGGGAATCTGCCAGAAGGTCAATATAGCTGATACATCCATTTGCAGGTCTGAGACCTTATTTTTCCTTAATTATCATGTATAATCCTACCAGTTGTATGTCATTAAAGCAGGTGGTAATACTTTTATGAGAAATGATAATATCGTAGTACTGTTACTACTATTCGTATGCACCCAGTATGTATCACCTCTTAAAATCAGGTAAGTAGCATGAAAAATCACTTGGTTTATTACATTTCCTGACCTTTAAAATGGTATCTTAATGTTCGACGTTTTTGTACCTCGTTAAATAAATTACGAGACTTCTTTCTTGTCCTAACGTAATTCTAATTTCATCCTATTGCTTTCAGATCAATGAAATTCCGAAAGTCGATCAAAAACTATTAAATAATCTTCAAGCTATGGGTTTGTTTGAGCTGACACCCGTTCAAAAACATGCCATTGGAATTATGTCAGTTGATGAATATGAGGAGGTTGACGTTAAAATAGATGAGTCCAATCAAAGTACAGATGATAATCCTCCTTATGAACGTGTCACTGGTAAATTTGACTTAATGGCAGCTGCACAAACTGGTTCGGGTAAAACATTAGCTTATCTTATTCCAATTTTCAATCGTTTGTTGAGAGTTTATCCATTTGAAGCGATGCAATCTTTGGTAAGCAGAATGTTAATTCCTACATTATCATATTTTACTGGACGTAATTAAAAGTTTATATTGTAAACAATTAGTAATTTACTAAGCTGTTACTTGTATACAGGGGTTGTGAATCAAAAATGAACTTTTCTGAAACCAGTTTGAAACTATTTCTGACAACTATTTTCAGAGTACACTACTGAGTTTTGTGAAACATGTTCAAGTGTACAATCGTCTACAAGTGATCCATTTCCGTGTTTTCATCTAACATCTTAGATGCAAAGCACTGACGAATAAAATAGAGTATATTTCAGGGCACAAGCTCATAAAATATCTTATTTCTAGCTAATTTTATTACAGTCACAGTAATCACTTAAGAAACATTGTTTATAAATGATTGTTGAAATGATAATGTCGCAAGATCGGAGAGCCATTTTTATGTATTATATGAGAACTGTCATCTTACCTATCGTTCAGATAAAAGCTGGTATTTAAGGAGAGTGGAATAGTACCCAAAATTTGTCTTCAATCAACACCTGCCAATTTTTTGTTTAATTGGATAGGAATACTTAGACAAATTTAGTCTTATTGTATTCGGACATAGTTGGACAGTTTGCCGAATTATTTTCCGACCGGATATATGTTTATCGACATTGCTGCATTAGGTACACTTTACTAGTGGGAAAAAATCTTAAAATAACAAGTAAACTAAAGTAGTCATTCAAATTTACCATCAATAATATCTTTATACTTCTATGACACTTATCGAACACGTAGCTTGTGTAACGTCACTTGTGGTGTAGGCGAGATATTTATCTGTCGACTAAAACACGAGTATGCCATGTAGCAGTCCGCTCTGTTTTACTTTCCAGTTGTTAAACGCGGTCGAGGAAAGTAGAAAACATTCGTAGGCTGAAGGTTTCTGATCATAAGCGTCTTCAAAGCATTGTTCGCGCAATGTGGTTAGACCGATTGAGCAATGTTGTGGTTAGACATAGGATACTTGGCAGATGTAGCAAATCAGTTGATGAGTTATTAGGTCTTCCGTCAACTGATGTGGTTAGGACATGTATTAGTATGCCTAACCATCATCTACTTTGAGTGATACTTGTTAGTACAGAAGTAGGCTGTAAGAAAGCTTGGGCCGGCCAAATGAAAACGTGGCATCGGTTAGTCCATGAATTCATTGACTATTGGTCTGAGTTATGCTGATAAATCCAGACTGTCTGATTGGGGTCCACATGATAATCGCAATCATTGTTTGAAGAGTTTGAGTGACGTAACTCGGAATTGTTCACAATGGTGTAGATGCATTCATTCTTCATTTTTATCCCGGTTTTAAATTCCATTCATTCATGCATATGTAGTGTCAAGTACTATTTCAGGCCCACATAGATTATTCTAGCTTCCAGACAAGCCAGTTTATTCATTCTTCTTGCGTCACACTTTGACCTTGTTAATTATTCGCTTATTAACTATGAATGTTAATATATGATCGTCTGTGCGTGTATTGCTTACCCTACTCATCACGTGTCTGTAAGTTATTTTTGTCTGACTATAAATATTGAGTCACTCTTGGTTAAATTGAGTTGGCTCACATGCCATCTCCGATTCGTTTCTCTTATGGTCTGTCTGGATCAACGATTGTGTGAAATATACGTATTCGAAATCCATTCTCGTATTTGACTTATTTAATTCCGTTATTCACTAACGCGATTTAAGTCGATAATTACATACGAGGATTTGCGGCACATACATTTCGATAGCAATCGGCAAACAATCTAACTGGAGTCAGATATAAGGCCACTAAACATGCCTTTCCACTCAGCCTTTACAAAAGATATTCTCAAGGTTTTGTATTCCTGTTTGTTGTTGATACCACACCATTTCTATCTTTTATGATTTTTATCTCGTGTAACCGTAGTGTCTCAACTTGGGTCAGTGTAAACTTGTCCCGGGCTCTATGTCGATATCTGTTTGTCAGGTTCCCGTGTTGTTAGCAGGATATAGATTTGATCAAAGTATATTTCGTGCAGAGTTATTATGGGGCTATTTCTTGGCCAATCAGCACCAGCGGAAACTTAGAGAAGACTAGAATCTTATGTAAAAATTATAAATATACTGTTTTTCTTATTGTAAATCCATCCAACCATTTTATTTGGAATATAATTACATTCCTGTTCAACCTTGTTCTGATTTGGGGACTTTCCAAGCGATTTAGTGTCCAAGAATACTAAGCAATAAGAGTAGCTGGGTCGTAATAAAAGAAACTACAACACGTACTGAAACATGAATTCTCTTCTTCTTATAGCCTTTGTTTCAAGTACGTCTTGAAGTGTTAAAGAATGCATGCTTTAAATAAAAAACAGTATAACAAGAAATGTTCTCAGTTTCCTCTGATTAAAAAACGTCTGTTAACAATGTAGTATGCGATTAACTTATCGCTTTAGCATTAAAATATTCTATTTATCGAGAGATGGTGAAAACCAGACATAAATTTTTAGAACAGCATTATTTTTCTTTATTAACATTAACATCACAAGTTGCTTTGTGGTGTTAATCAGTGATCAATACAAATGAAAGAAGGGAAAAGGTAAGAACAATTAGACTTGTCTAGCACTGACTTCCACCTGATATGCATCTGTGAGCTGCCCTCCATGCATGAATTTTTTTGTGTAGTGCGTCATAAGAATACCGTATGATATTGACGATCTCAGGTACATCATACTGTTGGAGAAGGTTGCATAAGGTTCTCCTATCCATGCTGTCAAATGCGTTCTCATGGTCAAGGAAGTTGATGTATAGTGATGAGCTTCATAGCTCCGTTGCTCTTGAATTTGACTGATTGAATTATCTTTATTCTTGATTAGTCGCTCTGGTTTGCTATGCTTCCTAGTTTCTTGGTTATATCGTATAGTTATCTGATATTTTTTCGTTCACAGCTTTTTCTGCTGATGTTGCTAGGTCTTCCATATATTTCCGTTTATCAGCTTTAATGCCCTTTTTCTACAAGGTTTGATTTTCACTGCAATAAAGATTTTATTTCGTCTCTAATTATCATGCTTGCATACAGATGTCCACTATTTTTACTAGTTTCTGTAAGAATCCATTGTCGAGTTTCATATTTCGTGCATATTACTTACCAAGCTCATTTGTTTACTAGAGTTTAAGCTACACTTCTTGTTGTGTAAAATCTAGTCATAATGAGATTGGGCGGGGTTTCGCACACAGATTTAACTGGCTCAAAGTTAATTAATTTTTCTATCCCACAAGAATTCTCTTTAAAGTTCGTTTTTCAAAAAAACTAATTAAAACCCCAGTCACTTGTTCAACTGACTATAAGCACCTATTTTAGATATTTGGGAAGCGTCTCACTCTATTGTGCACAAAATTATAGTTTGCTTTCACTACAGCAGTAAAAAGATTTCTGAACGCATTTATATTTTTTATCCACTTGTGTAGCTCATCTCTCGTACACGACGTCAGTATCCCTCATCTGTAATTTTGGTACCAACTCGTGAGTTAGTCCAACAAATACAGTTAGAACTACGTAAAGTAATTATTTTTCGGTTATTTATAAGGATAATTTTTAATTATATAGTTATGTAACCAAACCTTCGTTCGATCAGTAGGTGTATTTGGTGGTGAACGACCAGAACGACAGATGTTTGAATTGAATAAGGGATGTCATTTTGTAGTTGCAACTCCTGGAAGACTTTTGGATTTCTTGAACCGTGACTGTATATCCTTAAAATTCTGCAGGTAATTCCATCGTGTTACTGCTACTTTAATTATATTATTTCTTCTATTAATAGTTTATAATGTTAAAGATGCATCGCATGTTTTCATCATAAACTCTTTGCTTCTCAGAACCTGTTTGCGGCTAGTTAGATTTTATTTACGTACTTATTTATTGTAAAGACTTGTAAAGATAACAAAACATCACTGCTTTTAAATGCGGATACTTGTGAAACCATGCAAACAAATGTTGTTGAATTGTTAACTTTTATATTTCGTATATCAAATTTTATGCTGTTCTGTTACATGACTAATTATTGTGTTTCACAGTTCATTGAATATAGTTTACCATAGATAATCAATTAGTCGCGTTTAATAAATAAAATTCACACATCTCCTTACCACGTCGAATATCGATGTTGATCATCCCTGACTTAGATGATTAAGTCTTTAAAAAAGGTTTAAACAAGAGATACATCGCCAAATATCTCATATACGGCATAATAAATGTTCGATTTCATAGCAGTTTTTACTACGTTTCATAAAACAATTATGGTCATGTACAGCACTTTTTGATTTCCCTTTACCTCATTCAGTAATGAAATTGGACACGTTTATTCACGTTTCATATAATACAGTGTTGTTTGCAGTGGTAGTTTAGTAATTAAAGTACTCTGCTTTCAGTCATTTGATCAAACGTTTAAATTGGATAGTATCACTAGTTTTCAACTCGAACATTATGGTTCAAAGTGATGTACATAAAGTTGTACTTGGAAGATGAACTGTATTTCTATTTATTGTTGTCCTTTATTTACCGAAAAAACCAAATATTTTACAAACTGCTATTTAATATCCTAATGACCTGTTTCGGCCATCTTTCATACTTCAGTTTGGTGCTTCGTTAATCAAATACTATCCACTCCCCTAATATTCATCGTATACGTTGCAAATTCTTGCTTTTAGTGTTATTTTCTTTAAATGAATGGAGATAGCCTTATGTAAACAAAACATAACAGCTAGAATCGTGTAAAAGTTCTTATATTCTCGAAAATTAGACTTGACTAGATGATCATTGAAGCTGGAACTAGTGATTGTAAATCACTGGGATTGGACACAATGGTTATGTTATAGCCCAAAGCCGCGAATCAGAAGCAGCGAATTATCGATCAGATCAAGGACGCGTAAAACACGTGCGAGCAGCCTAGAGTCCTGATTGACCTTGCTTCCTGCTTAGTCCAGCCAGTTAAGTCCAGAACACAAGTCTCAGCCTCTACGATATGAACCATTATGTTTCAAACATACTGAGTTTATATACCAATCAAACAGACCACAACGTAGCATAAGATAGAAAATAACATTTGTACAAAATATGGCCAAATGTGGCTGTGGATGTGGGAGGCAGTGACTAATAGACAGGGCATAATTCAGGAATGGTAAAACGTATAATAATGGTTCATAGGTTTAAATAAAACTTATGATAAGAGGAATATGAATAGTTTAGTTTTTTAACAATTATACGATAAAAATATACGTTTAGTATTGGTCCATAAGAGGATCCCAAGGTTACCATTCATTATTTGTATCGGGGCCTAACAGATTATTAGCATAATAATTATTGATACTTACGACATGTAGTTTCGTTATTTCTTTGAATAATTTGAAAAGTTAATGATAAAACGTGATAATATCGTTCTCCATGTTACATTAATTTCTCAGCTTATCTAGATTTCCTTTCTTAGAGGTTGATTTGTAAGCTACCTAAGTGAAAAAGGTATGATAAATATATGACTTATTTAGAAGCTCTGTTTACTGAGTTATAAATTTTGAAGTAAATAGCCTCACGTTTTGTTTCTGTCCCATTGTCGTCAACGCTCATTCACTCATGTTTTCTTTACCTTATAATAACTGTTTAACTAAAGATTATTTATAGTCTAATAATTTATTTGCAAACAAGCGGTTTTGTTTTCCGTTGGTTTGAAATCGTTCAATCCACCAGTCCTCTCCTTGCTCTTTTTCATATTTTTTGTAGATATTGGTATATTTAGAATGAAAGATATTTATGGAACGATCTCGTCGTTCTTTCTCTTGTTGATGTACTATTAAGCTAAACCGTCATCTGTGTTTGTTGCCATACTTTTGTTGCAAATTTCTTAACTTTGTTATCGAGATTGCGTTTGCAATTACTTGCCTTTTTTCAGATCTTTAATACTTGACGAGGCAGACCGAATGCTAGATATGGGTTTTGAAGAGCAAATACGTCAAATTCTAGAGTCACCGAAATTTCAAATGCCTCCACCAACAGGGAATGGTCGTCAAACTGCATTATTCAGTGCGACATATCCACGTGAGGTTGCTCTTTTAGCCAAAGATTTTCTACGCGGTCCAAACTGTATTTCTCTTACACTCAGCAGTCCTGAATCTAATACTGGTACTGTAGTCCCTACGTGGGGAAAAGCAGTTCGTAATAAAAATGAAGATGAATTTGAACGACTTACACGAATAATTCCCAAAGAAATTAATCAGCAGTTCCAAGTGGTTGTCGGTAATCCTGAATCCGCTGTATCGAATCATCTTTTACAGTTAATTCTAGAAATGAAATCTAAAAGTAAATCACTACTGTTTTTTAACACTTTTGTTTAGTACGTTTAACATTTATAGAAGTGGATTTTTTAAGAACAGACCTAAGTAGTATTTTCCCAAGCCTTTTTGAAATTCATAGTAAAGGTACTCAGTAATTCGAAACATGTTGGCGCGTCCTTTTTAGAACTTAAACGTTCTAGACTTAAAAATGTGTATGCTTATCTTGAGTAATATAAATCTAAATGTCTCTTTGATATAGGGAATAAAGTAAACTTTCACATATATAATACACGACTGAATCACATATTAGCCTGACCCACCTATCATAATAGCCCAGGTAAAATTCTTCTCTCGTTTACGCTTATTTGGTTGTAATTGGATAGTGCAAACGTTTTTTTGATTTTTATTGAAACGTATGTTGAATCAATCGTTCCAATAATTTACTATATAAAGTCACCGTAGCATTTATACAAAATTCCAGACTACACATCCTATGAATCATGTATCGTATAGGGTGAATAGTTTCAATTCAATAGTATTAAATAAGTGCTTATACTTCGTTTAGTCATTTCAAAACACATATTTGAAAAAGTGGGCAAGTTATTAACAAGATATGCAAATATGCTGATAATTCTGTACCGTACTAGACATTAGTATTCAATAAAATGACTATTATAGGTATTAATGAAAGGAACTGCCTAGTCATATGCATTATTCTTTTTGATAATTGTTTGTACTTCACGATGATTGTCTTTTTTCAAACACATTTATTCGTTTTTCCAATCTTTCCACTATTACAGTAAACAGATATTTCAAGTATTTCAATTGAATTACTTTTTGAAATAAATTTACTCATTTTAAAATCATACAAGTCAGTCACGGCCTATGGTGTTTAGCAACAGAAAAAATCATTCGTAATTTCTTAATTTAGATATCACTAATTTATTAAACCGTTAATTTTCACATTATCGTATCACTTTTATCTTGTTTCTAGGTTTGGAAAGTGTTTGTCGAGTTCTTGTATTCTGTAATACCAAAAGGGAAGTTGATCAAATTGATAATTATCTTTATTCTAACGGCATAAAATCGACCTCTATTCATGGTGATAAAACTCAGTCTTCTCGTGCAAAATCCTTAGATCTATTCCGTAAAGGAACAGCGAATGTTCTTGTCGCTTCATCGGTAAGACGTCTTTTTGCCACCTGCATTTAAAAATAAAGATAATTCCCCTGAAGTGCATGCAATTAATGACTGTTGTTACTGTTGAATGTTAGCTTGATTTGCAGAGTGGGATTTTAATTTTTCGTTGTATGTTTTAGCTATAAAGCCTCTATTTATAGGCATCACTTCACTGTTTCTGTTTTGTTTCCGTAGTATTATAATTTATTTCGACATTATCACCAGATTTTTCTATGTAATACATAATCATCAAGCTCGATTGAGTTAAAGTACTTTTCGCTAAACAGAAACAACACACCGATAATTTATGTCAGCGTGCAGTCTGACCAACAAACCATAGTGTACTATAGTTACATTCTTAATGTATTTGGGTCTAAACAAACTTTTTTATCACGACAGACTTTCAGAATTTTACTAGATAGATAAATCTTGTTAACTCCTAACTATCTATTATCAATCAGCAAACTAAGTTATACGGATGGGGATTTTGATGTTTTTCGATTATTATTATTATTGAGATTAAAATTATCATTGTAATTTCTGTTACCTCGGTCTATTTATGTAAGCTATATATCACAAAGATTTTCGAACAACACATGCGTGTTACTACCATAGTTTGTTTTTAGTTCACTCATTATTGGCTTTACAGTTCTAACACTTAGGAACATTTTGTGTGAACTATGGGTTTTTAAGCGTACATCACATCCTTATTTCATAATCAAAAAGCATTTTAGGAAAAAGAGCCCTTGATTATTACCTTTTCAGAAATATAATTTAATTTTAAAACAGCTTGTCAGTTGAGCATCCAGTTAGTTGTTTCAACCTCCGTTTCAATGTGCGTGTTTTTAACACCATGCTAATATCACTAGCTCTGCTACAGTAAAAGTAACGGTTCATTACATACTTGCTAATCTAAGTTGCAATGTTGATATGAGTCGTCTATTTTACTTGTAATTGGGCTACTAAAAATATCATTTATCTGTCATTTATTAGGTTGCTGCTCGAGGTATTGATATACCCAATGTTTTTGCAGTTATTAATATTGGTCTCCCAAATGAATTAGATGATTATGTTCATCGAATAGGACGAACTGGTCGTATGGGTAAATCTGGTGAGGCTATAACACTTATTCATGAAACCTTGTTACAACAACAACAATCAAGCAGAACAGTATCACGTGGAATTTGCCAACTTTTCGAATCTGTTGGTAATTTAGATAAAGTCCCAAAATTATTGTTGGAATATGCCAATATGGAAACTCAAGAAGGGGGAGAACAAAAATACAATATTCGTTCAAAAAATAAAGACATTTATTCGAAATTTAAACCTCGTTCATTCACAAAAGGTTATAAAAGTTATTCACGTGATGATAGTTCGATGCGATATTTGTAAATAAACATTATAATTCAATCTAGCAATATGTAATATAAACATAATTCACATGTATAATTATATTTGTCTTCATTTTTTATGCGGGGAAAAAAGTATTGCTTAATATATCATCACAAGTATGAAATCCGAGGACAATCTTCACATAATGCCAGAACATCGGAACTCCAAATGTGTTGGTTAAATCGTTTGTAATATTTCTGGTTTGCTTTATACTTTTGGAATTCTGACCGATTCTATTTATTGTATACGAGTTCTTAACAAGTCATTGCAAATGGAATATATCGTAACTGCTTACATCGTACAGTCTATCAACTTTGAAAACTTGACTTTGTTTCAACAATACCCGTGAAGAAAAACCTTCCGCAAATTGCAACGTATTTGTTAAAATATTAATAAACACAGAACATCAATTGAAATAGAATAATATGGATTCGTTATTTCTCTGCTGCCTACAATCATGTATGTGCAACATAGATGTATGATACAATATGACATTGATGACAAAAAGGATCATTGTGACAAAGACTATCAATAATAATTATAGGTGTGCAGTCATTTGGAGATGGAATTCGGAAATAGCGAGGGGGCGCGGCAGTAATTAATAAAGGTCCGGGAACAGATGAGATGGATCATATGCTAACTATAATTATAGGACGTAATACATACGTGTTTAGTTCACAACAGCTTATGTCTCACTAGTGTCGTTGGTCTCAGTTTCCCATAATCCTCCTTCTAACCTATATGTTGGAGCTCCCATTGTGTTCAATCGTATTATAGGCTTCATGACCTGAATCTAGTCTTTCCATTGTCAGAAATCCTCATTTAAATAGAGTCATTCACTTATATTCAGCTAATATACAAAACTGGAAAAACACCTCATAATCTCGTAGATGCCGTTTGCAGTCAAAACAAACACCCCTTAATGAGTTTTCTGTCGATAAACATTTGTGCTTTCCGGCTAAATAGCACAATAAGAACGTAGGAAAGACTTAGATGCCGTTTGTAGTATGTTTTGTTCGAAAGACCGGGCAATCAAACCCGGTAATAGTGGTGCCTGTTGTAGGAGCTCTAGTATGCAGGTCTAACCCAACTAGAAGACCGGTCGTTCAAACTACCAAACAAGACGGTTACCGTGTGCTGGAATTATCTCTGAGTAATAGTTTATTACCAGGGTCCAAAAACTTGGATGTCTTTCAAAACGACCTCAACTGAGTGATAAACATAGATAGACCTTCCTTACAGCACATATCGTTTGAATGTTTCGGTAGAGGAGGGTCCGCACTCCAGAGTTTAATAATAGTTTAGTGCGAACAAGAATTTTACGCAAAAACATTGTAACAGAAACACCTCCTAGGGCCTAATTTGAAGATCCAAACATGAAGAAAGTACAAGGGGATGGACTAGCTAGACACTGAGAGTGTGTTCATTTTAAAGTGGCTTGGTATATATACAACATCAGAAACACCATTTACCAGTAGTAATCAGTCTGCAGCAAACTGAAAGCTGAAACAATCCACACTGTTATAGCTATACATATTTTTTGTGTTTGCTTTTTTATTAGTACTACACAAAAAAAGTCATTCACAAATCACAGATATTACAAGTATATCATATGATACATGCGCAGCATTCGTGTTTACCATCATTGTGACCGATTCATAAAGAAAAAAATAAAAATAGTTACAATAAGAATTAAAAATTTAGATCAAGAGTTAATCACTGAGGATAGTTATGCATGAATTATACACAGTTGAAAGAACGATAGAGTAGACAAGTGACACAATATCCACACACCATTGTACCTTATCACTACCATGTCGACATAATGTGTTGATGCCTTGAAATAACCGATTAAGTATGGATAATTTATCACATAGGTTCTAAAAATCTCATGACAAGTTGTACAAGAAAAGCAAATATACTAAACACGATCAGGACAAATAATTTGGAGATATGCCATTCATTTCTATTTTCACCATTTACGCCGGAGTTATTTGTACTTGCGTCGGATTGTGACTGACGTTGATTTGATGAATTTAAAAGTTTACTACGAAGTTCTTCAGCTGTCAGATTTTCGCGAATCTCCTAAAACAGGAAAACGTAAGATGGTGGTAATTCCGAACCAAACTAAAAATTAAACTAGTGAAACTTTATATTTCAGAACAAATCACTGATTATTTAGTGGATTTTTACTTTCCTATGGATATATATGTATGGACGCGGAACTAAAACTTCTATTTGCTATTGATTGACCACTAAGCAGTGACTAATGTTATGTACATCAAGTACTTGTTAGTGCTAACGGGATTGTATTCAATCAGACAGTATGAGTCTGAAACATAAGTTATTGATTATTCAATGTATTTTTCATATTTGCTACTAAACCTCTTATCTTCCACATTCGCCACTGAGTTGATCCGAATCCATAAAATCTTATCTTAGACCTTCCGAAACTATCCTCTAAACTACACTGTGAAGCTTTCAGTGTGTGTACTCTAAATTAAACTGAGTAACAGGCCTCACTTATTAAGACTATATACTCTGGCGCCATCCGAAACAGGATAAGTGTGGTCAATCACTCGACCTTGTCTAGCTAATATCGAGATCAAAAGCGTTAGGAACAAGGTACTAGGTAGAAATGGAATGTTCATTGATAAAGCCATGGACCTTTACCGGTTGAAGTCGTTAAGATATGTGTTACGCAAGTCTAACGACTGTCTACTTCATGATATCTGATACTTGCTGAGATAGAAGCAGGTCAGTAAACAGTTAGTGGTCCGTAGGTCACGACATGGTTTTAGTTTATGAAATCATTAACAATTGAAATAAGCCGTATCAGTAGGCGATAACTCCAACTAGTTTTTGAAGATGTTAATGGACATGGTTCAGAATTCGTGGCACTAGTATTCATCTAATTACTTTGTATTCTCTCCCGAGTCTTGACGTTTTACACCATTCGATAAATTCTTTTTCTTTTTGAACTGTTTACTCCAATTAGATATAAAGACTATATCTAGATTATCTTAGAGACCACAATTTAATTAATGCTAACGTTTCCCCCGGCAAACTGGTTCAAATTTTTCCAGGGTAAAAAAAGTCGAAATTATCCTAAGTGTTATGGATGCAGAATAATGTGTCAATCATTATCATGTTAAGTCTAATGATGTCCTTGGACGTTAAATGGACATTTCCTATTGGCCATTATTTATTTCATTCGTTAAATATTGTACAAATGTTGTTTTCTATTTTATGGTACGATGTGGACTGTTTGGTTAGTATATAAATAGAGTATGTCTGAAATACAATGATTCATATCTCAGAGGTTGTGACTTGTTTTCTGGACTCAACTGGCTGGGCTAGACAGGGAGGCGGGACCGATCGGAACTCTAGGTAGTTCGTATGTGTTTACGTGTCACCGAATCGATCTATAATACGTTGCTCTAATCTTTCAGTCAAGGACGCAACAATTGGCACGGGGTAAAAATCGACCCAAGTTTAAAGTCATAACACTAAGTAAGTAGGGATTCAATACAAGCCCGTAAAAACACTTTTCTAACTAGGTTCAAATGTCTATCTTATGTACAAGAATGAGTTATTTGACATAAAATCACTTCATAATGACATATGTACGCTATTGTTATCAAAGTTCACTGAACAAATGAAGCCTCTGTCTAGAGCAAAGGTCAGATTAATCGTTTTGATTATTATTAGGTTAAAAGTATATATGAGTACATTAAGCTCGTCAATGTACGTGTTGATCACTAGAGAATAGTCAAATAGAGAATGGCGATGACAAATCAAGAAATCATAGATAAATCCAAAGACAATGAGAAAATAAATAAACTACCGTTCTTGGAGTCGTATTACGGTATAGATAGAATCATGTTTAAATTTATTAATCAACAAATGCCGTGATGTAACTAACTACATTTTACTTCTATTCGGATTGTTGTGGTCAGTTCGCACAAAAAGGGCGGAAAAAACATTTCTGAAGTTTCTTAATACTACCACTGTCATATTTTTAACAACTACATTGCGATTCCTAAGGTCATATGCTGTTTGAGGAACATATCATAAACATTATTCATGTTCTTTGTTTCCACACTCAGCTGTTTAAATACTTCACACATATAAATAGCACTAAATTCAATTTAGTGAACACAGTTTGTGTTAATGTCGGTCCAAAGTTCGAGTAAAGAAGAGATGTGAATGGGGTCAGCAACCTCATCACGTAGAAAACAACCTTGCTAAAAATGCTAACCAGAATAAACAAGTTTAACCATTTAAAGTCTACCCTCCAATTTGAAGGATCTCTCAGAAGAATTATGACACCTCATAGTGAGTGCCAAGATTCTTCAAAAGTCACGAAACCCATGCCCCTTCTAACAACCACAGCAATAATTAATATAGGTACATAGAATTCCCTGACAATGTGAGAGACTGGGAGGACTGAAGTGAACGGAACACGAATGGGGACAACAGAATGTATTTAACACAAAATTACAGGACTTGATAATAAAATTTAACAATCATAAAGTAAATGCTTAATATGCAAAATGTCCATCGATTGTCTCAAAATGGCTCAGACTTCATTGTTCTCGAATTTTCATGCAAATTGCATTTTGTTTCCATTTTTTACTGTTCGATCCTCTTTTCTCTCTTCTTCCAGACCTTCTGTTTACGACTTATATCATATACTACTTATGTCAATATAAGTAGCACACACCACAGGACTAGCCAAATAACTACAGAAATGAGGAGATACAACTTGGAGGTGCTCGAATTAAGTGAAACACATTGGACCCAAGCTGGACAGAAAAGACTAGATTCGGGAGAGATGCTGCTGTACTCTGGTCACGAAAACGCAAATGCTCCACACACGAAGGGATTTGCTCTGATGCTATCCAAAGAAGCACGAAAAGCACTTGCTGAATGGAAATCTCATGGATCCAGAATAATCAAACCATCATTCAAGACAAAGAGAAGGGAATCACAATGAATGTTATCAGATGTCATCCACCCACCGATGATTGCAACGACGACGCTTAAAGTCGGTCTTATGAGAGGATGGAATCGATCGTGGAGATGTGACCAGGAAAGGACCTGACCATCCTGATGGAAGACCTAAACACCAAAGTTGCAATGGACTAAGACTGATCACACCAGTGAGTCTCAACATTAACAAGGGAAAAAACCCAGAAAGGTCTTAAATTGTGAAATAGTCAATATCAACCAATTCACACTTGATGGAGAAGCTCTGGAAGAGGCGGAAACCCATACGTATATAGGAAGCATCGTTGATAAACAAGGAGGGTCTAATGCGGATGTGAAGACACGGATTGGCAAAACAACGGCACCACTCCTACAGGTGAAGAACATATGGAACTACAAACAACTATCAGCCAACATCAAAGTCAGAATCTTCAATACAAATGTCAAGACAGTTCTGCTGTACGGGGCTGAAAATTGTATAGCAACTACACAACCATCATCAAGATGGTACAGGTATTTACCAATAGTTGTCTATGCAAGATACTCCAGATCTGTTGGCCAGACACCATCAGTATTCTGGTATAGAAGAAACCAGTTTATAGCTGAGAAAGGAATTAGAAAAAGATGCTGAAGACGGATAGATCACACTAAGGACATCACCAAACTGCATCACAAGTCAAGCTGTAACTTGGAATCTTCAAGGAAAAGGGAAAAGATACAGATACCAGAAGAATGAACAGAAACTAGGAAATCAAAAGGACTGCCCAGGACAAAGTTAAATAGAGAATCCTGGTGGATGCCCTATGCTCCTCCACCAAAGATGATAGGTGTAAGTCTGTTTAATATAGCTGTTTAGGTATCCTGTTCAAATTTACAACGAATATGTGGCATTATGTAACGACCAACTCATACGCTTGGAGAAGTGTGGATATTTCCTGGTCTTCAAACGTGCTTTTTCTATAAATTTGTGGTAACATTATGCAAACGTCAATTAATATTACTCATACGCAAGTTTTACATTCAGAAAATGGCGCATTCTGTGATAGGAGTCGGAGTTAGATATTTGAAATGACATGACTATGAATCAGAGGATCACAGATTAATGGTACTAGTTTCGTCTTAAGACTTATTCAAGAGAAGCATATACATACAAAAATGTGACGTTTTCTTCATAACTATGTGATTTATCAGGTCAAAATGATAGGACCACAATAGGGAAACAAAAGTAAGTGACTTAAAATTATCCTGCAAAATTAAAGCCATATAATGTCTAGGGAACAAGTTCTCAGGACTGCATTTATTAGTGGATGAAATGAATATAACCTTAGACCTGATTTTTCCAGGGTGACAAATGCTTTTGAGATTTGAAATGAAACCCACATTCCTACAAAGTGTTCCTTAATGCTAATTCCTAAACATAGCAACTGATCCTACATTGAAAGTGGCTGAACTTTGTCCATTCCATAAAATGGTACTACGAGTCAGCTCTTTCCCTTGTAAGTACAGCGCCAATACATCGTTGCAAACAACTGTTATGTTCAGTCCTTGATAGGTTTTTGACTAGTCTGAGGGTACGTATTGAAATTGGGGAGTGTGAGGAGCAGTATGAGAGGACGTGAAGAAAAGTAATCCAAAAAGACTCAGTAGGTACATAGAATGCACTTATGTCTAGTAATGGAAGCAATCAAAAACAACTAAAAATGATAATTAGACAATCTGATAATCAAAAGTAGAAGTTGGTAGCGTGAACTGCACCCTGACTTCTCGAAACCCCCTCCCCACAACTCTGTTACAGCTTCAAATGACAAACTATGTTTAGTTGAGTTAGTGTACTATTTGGTACTTGGGATCTAAGTCTGAATAGTAAGAGGGCATTTCTGGTTATAGAAACGTACCGTCTACGCTATGCTCAGTTTCAAACTGAAGGGTAACACAAGTCAGTAAGTTGTAGCAGAAGTAATCATAAAGTAACATTCGAGCCCATTAACTTCAGGGCCTACAGAGTTCAAGTAAACATCGACCTCTTTTGAAAGGCTCTGAATGATGTGTCCTTACTATTGTCTTTGGTAAGCGGCACATATCTTTGTTAATTTGACCAAGAGAAAGTTTGCACGAACTTTTGTGAGAAATCTGTAACGGTAAATAAGTCCGCAAAACAAAAAATTCTGACAGTCTTTGACATTGATGCGACCGCATTAGTTTTACTGGGACCACCTAGCTAGATGCGCTCGTTCATGCATCCGTACCAGATCACGAGTGGGTACTCCGTGCTAAGCATACTCAGCAACTGTTACCCACCTTAGATCAAATACCTCGCGACATATCTATGGCGTTCCATATATATATCGTCGGTCCACTTCATTTCGAGCTTGACCGGGTTCGATGTACTTCGATTATAATAGTTTTAGGTGTAAAGGCGTTGTCAAACTCCAAACACCTGTGGCATCTTCACTTAGTTTGTGTTTATCCTTAATCAGGCTAATGTTATGTTCACGGTGTTCGATTCTGATACTGAAGCACAGACGTCCTATTTTTAAGCCCTCAGTCAGCTAAGTGAGACGATTAAGAGAGAAGAATAAAGTTTATTGGGCTGAACCGACTCAATTGCGTAACCAATTTTAAAAATATATGTACTCCATAGAAAATGAAACCATTTCTATCCAATAACATATACTTATGATTGGATTGCATAAATTGGACATAACATTTGGCGAGTACTGATTGGTAAAATCTATAATCTTTCATCCTGAAAATAAACTGGGCTCTTGAATTAAACTATGGGTTCTGAGAATACAAACCATTTCTTAACAATCTTTTTACATACTTATTTTACTTTAGGTTTTCCTAATACATGTATTTGGCAGGAGCTAGGTGATCTACTTAATCCAAATGAAATTTCTTTATAGTGAGTCGTGCAGATATCGCGACAGAAAAAAATTTAATACTCCACGTTTCTCATTCATAACCGTCGTGGAATCTGACACCGACTTAAAATTACGTTACATGCCAAATTTCTTAGAGTTTATTAAATGTCCGAAATCATGTTTACATTCTGTCTTATTCATTTTTCAAGAGGATCTATTATCTGAAAAAAAAGTAGCTATTGGATCCCTATTTCCACTGATCGCAGAGGATTTATTCATGCGTTCTTTCGAAACGGATGGAGCCACAAAATGTACGACTCCACCGGAAATCTGTTCACTGTATATAGATGAAAACTTTGTTGTGATTGAGCAAGATTGATTAGAATTATTCAACGAGGTGGACAATATATCAGTTAGTATTAAGCTTGCCAGCGAGATCCCAACTATTTAATTTGAAAAAACACACAATGATAACTCTAATCATTATATTCCGAAAATCGACACCCTCAGAAATTTCTAGATTATAAGCCTTCATATGCTTTTTCTAAAGGTTATTCATATCTAAAATGGGTCAAAGGGGCAATCCACGTTTATTTTGGTGGAGTTTTGTTCTCTGAGCTCAGAGAACAAAACTCCACCAAAATCATCCACCTGAGCTACAAATCTCCACCAATCTACGTTTATGCATTTTTGGCAAACCATATAGCCTTGGTGTCATCGTTAATGTCATTTTTCTTGAAAACCTAAAAAATGGACCACTCAAAGACATAACCAGTCATCTAACGTCTTACTATATAGGTGATACTTCCATAGCATTAGAAAAAAAACATGGAAATGATAATTTACTTAAAATATTGAATAACATTCATCCATCGATTACTTTTACGATAGAGGAAGAACAGAATAATAGCACAACGTTTCAAGATGTCCAACTAGCTAGAAGAGCAGATGGAACATTAAAAAGAGGGATACATATAAAGTCTACAGATGGACAATATATTCATTTCTATAGTGCTGTGCCAATCAGATACAAAAGAAACTTAATAAAGATCCTGATTTATCGTTCTAAAATGATTTGCTCAGGTAACACCATTGTAAATGAATTGATCAATATTGGCAACCTGATGATTAGGAATAGATACCCAACGAAATTCATAAACAAACAAATGAAAAGAAGAACAAGAGTACCTACCATTCCAAGGAAAGTACTGTTCTTAGAACTAAAATTCCCAAATGATACTACCGAAAAAATTGTGACTCAAAGGCTATGTTAGGAGATACAGAACCATTTCATGCAGGCAGAGTGCTGTTGTCTACAACCGCCCCATAATAAGAACAATTAACAAAGACAGATTGCCGAAATTCGCCACATCCATGTTTATTTACCAATTCAACTGCTCCTATGGAGCCAGTTATATGGGATGTGCAATTCAGCAAGTCTGTCATCACATAGCAGAACACCATCCGTCTTGGCTGAGCAAAGGACAGGTAATAGTGTTTAAGAGTTCTATTCTGGCTCACTTGGTGGACACAAGTATTATTATTATTTATTATTTTAACACATAGATATTGGTACAAGGAGGCACCAAATACATATGCGCCACACAAATATCATTCGATATGTGTGAGGGCTGTGATACTGCCCGGGTGCCCAAACCGAAGCAGGTGGACACAAGTCACCAAGTTGGATTGAATAAAGCTTTTGAGGTTACCCACCATATTCCATCGACTTTGCTGCGTGGTCTACCAGCTCATCCTTTGCACATTGCTGAAGCCATTGAAAACCATGTTCACAAAACAAATCTTTGCATCAAAAACAAGTTTGTACAACCGCTCTCGTTACATTTGCCATCGGTATAGGAGTGAGTTGGTAGCAGAACTACGATAAGTAAACTATGATAATACTCTCAACATTCATACCTTGACTCCTACATAAATACCATAATACTGACCTTCCATCAAAATATTTTATTAGTTCCCTCTTTTCTATAAATTATGCAGCGTATCGACTTCTTGGTTTTCGAATATTTACTTTTATTATAATCCTCTTTCTTCCAATTGCACGATGTTATTTTGTAATCAATATGCCATTATGCAACTATCGCGTAACGTAACTACTCAATGAGTATTATTTTATCGTTGTAAATCATATATATGTATATTAGTGTAGGACCATAATGAAAAACTAATTGGGAAGAAATTTATTTGCTCGACTCGTTCTTTTTATTAACAATGACCTTCAGAAAAAGCATATGAAGGCTTATAATCTAGAAATTTCTGAGGGTGTCGATTTTCGGAATATAATTATTAGAGTTATCATTATGTGTTTTTTCAAATTAAATAGTTGGGATCTCGCTGGCAAGCTTAATACTAACTGATATATTGTCCACCTCGTTGAATAATTCTAATCAATCTTGCTCAATCACAACAAAGTTTTCATCTATATACAGTGAACAGATTTCCGGTGGAGTCGTACATTTTGTGGCTCCATCCGTTTCGAAAGAACGCATAGATAAATCCTCTGCGATCAGTGGAAATAGGGATCCAATAGCTACTTTTTTTTCAGATAATAGATCCTCTTGAAAAATGAATAAGACAGAATGTAAACATGATTTCGGACATTTAATAAACTCTAAGAAATTTGGCATGTAACGTAATTTTAAGTCGGTGTCAGATTCCACAACGGTTATAAATGAGAAAATTAGAGGATTAGGAAATAGGCTGTGATTTAGTGACTTAGGAGTTAAGCGTCCTTCATGTTAAAAAAGCATACTGATTGCGTAAGCATGGATTCAGTTGGTTGCCACGTATCTCTCACTTGTCTCATGAGTTTCTTTGAAATACTAGTGCTAATTATGTATACAACTCAACGCCAGAATTAAATTCCTGATGACTTTTCTATTTTGTTATAAATTGTTAATTTATATCACCTACTGTCTGTCAAGCTAAATGTCGATCTTACTTTATCAATATCATTTTAAGAGTTATTAATGCTCGTCAGTAAAGTATGCTTTCACCATCTTCGATTGGACTACACATATGGGTTGTCAAATTATTAGCATTCGAGCACGTATTACCTACAATTTGACGGATAAGTATATCATTGATTTAGATTTGCGTTTATTTGTTCTTAAAAAAGCACAAATCGCAGGAAATGATGACAATTTGCAAACAGAGTTGATGAATACATAGTTCGCTAATTTCGATCAATTCAATTTCACATACTCTTCGATAGGCGAGACTGCAATTTGTGGACGAACCAATCAGATTTACGATAACAGGTCTTGAATTTTGGTGCGAAATCATTTCATTCACTTGGTTCAACAGTTTTGGCATTCTATCTAGTGTCTGTTAGCGATGAAAACCCTAAATCTAATCCTTAACCCTAACTATCAACTGTAGATACGAATCCTAATTACTCACACTGGTTGATTACCCTTATTTAGCCGTAAAGTGTATGTGGACATTCCCAAGGTCTTTTTAGAGTCGCTTTAAGGTTTTTCATAAATTATAGTCTCACCGTTCGATCGATTCGGGGACGACAATTGATGTCAAGTTTTTATCCTGAAATCTTCCTTACTTTGGCTATTACTATTTGATTCTACTACATTTGAAGTGAATCGATCCTGAGTTAACATGAAAAAGTGGAGGTGCATAAAATTCTGCTCACTGGTTACTTATGTAGATATTAGTACACATAAATGCTAACCGTAATACCACAAAAACTGGTGTTTACTCTTACTTCAACAATTCCAGGGAATAATTCACAGAAAATTTCAGACTTCAGGTTAAAATCTCCGCTGGTTTTGGCTAGTTGTTTTTTAGTGCATGTTGAAGTCACAACACTACCCATGGTACACGTATTCTCCAGCATAAAACTTAGTAAGCCCGTTAGTATAGATGAAACAGACCATGCAGGATTCCATGTGTCGGGATGAAAATCACTTATTGATAGACACAGTCTACAAGAAAAATCAGCTATACCATAACACTCCCCACCTCGTGTTACATGCGAATCTACCGTTTGGTGTTATCATGTATATTGAAGGAGGTCGAAATGGAAAATCTCTCGGAAAAACAAGTTTCCCATGGTAATAACCTCCTTTATAAGGTGAATCAGCTGGTCCTTTGATGACATAATGCCACTCAAACAAGTTAGTTGGAAGTGGCTCTGCAGTTATATATGGAACCGGGTCCTTTGAAAGCCTTAGGTAGTCTTGTTTCAATCGCTGTAGTGCAGTTGAACAGTTCACTGAACGACTACTACCAGCCATCAAGGATGTCGTAACGCATATGTTGATTTGTACGGTTGTTAAAGAAACATTTGTCACTTCGCTGTTTTCTCTACATGTATATTTTTTATTACTTGCGATATTCTTGACAGAGCAAGATCCCCCGAGTGGTTCATTTAGGTGTTTAACTTGATGACTTCTAAAACTCATGAGAATTTCAGTCGTCTTCTCAATTCAATGTGTGTTGACTGTGTTTATGTGACTGCTGAAGTCCTACATTGTAAACTGATGACGTTTTTCAATAATTTAAGTATTTTGGCTTTGGAAGACCAGTGTGTTTTCTTAGTTTGGTTTTAAACGGGAAATTTTTCACTCTATGTTCCTCAGAATCCTTCTAACATGTTTAACCAAGAAAGTTCGTTAATTCCTCTTTGTCTTGATTTATTAGTAAGCATTCTCTCCATCCATATAGTTTTTCATTTCATCCTGAGGTCGCTGAGGAAGTGATTACTCAGTAGGCCATTACAACTATATGGTTCGCAATCTCTAAAGTAGGTCACCTTGTTCCATTCTGGTATTTCAAGAAAACTACTAAGCACGACAGCAAGCCTATTGAGTAAACCTTTGGTAGAATTAAGTTAAATAAACAAAAAGACGCATGAAAAATAATTTTGGTTGGTAAGCACTGAATCAAAGTAAGCTTATCTAAATAAATAAGCTTCTCATTAGACTCAATCATGTGATTCATGTTAGGTTTGGCTGAAGAGAGTGTGGTGTAGAGAACATCCTGGTGAATAGAAAGGTGCGGTTTGATGCATTCAGCCAAAAGACCTTTAGTGTTGGCTTTTAATACGTTCCAGATCAACATTAACGCAGATGAAAACTAAAGGACAAAGTTTTATAACAAGCTTTAATAATGGTGTGAATTATTAGGCATTATTAGGCAGCTGTCAGTCGATATCGAAGTCAGAGTCTTCAATACGAACATCAAGACGGTTCTGTTGTGTGGAGCTTAGACTCAGTGAACTACCTCAACTATCATCAAGAATGTTCAAGTATTCCTAAAGAAACGTCTACTCATGATGCTCAATGTCCGTTGGCCAGATACCATCAATAACAACTTATTGTGGGATAGAATAAACCAGCTTCTAGCTGAAGAGGAAACTAGAAAACGACGTTAGAGTTGTATAGGGCATACATTGTGGAAATGGTCAAACCTCATCACGAGGCAAGCCCTAACTCGAAATCCTGAAGGCAAAAGGAGAAGAGGAAGACCAAGGAACACACCAAAATTGGAATTTAGAAGCAAATATCAAAAGGCTCTATAGTAACTGACCAGGATTGTTTTTGGTGGGGAATTCTGGTGGGCGGTCAATGCTCCTTCATGAGAGGTAACATTTATAAGTTAGTCACTCTTGCTGAACAAGGGGAGTGTTTCAGCACTCCTGTGCATTTATATTTAATCCACCCATAGGTGATGAGTCAATTTGAAAAAAATAACAAGTAAATAAAACGCCAGAATCATGAGGGATGACTACTTGTCATCCTTCAGATTTGATTGTTCACCTTGGGGTAGTTAGAAGTAAAGTGCCAGGTAGGGTAGAACCAAACTTCTTCTTTGATGGAGACATTAGTACTTTATCCAGAAATCTTTGATTTCAGGTTGAATGTGGGTAAATCTGTAGTGGTATTAGTTCATAACCTCAATTGAACGTATAACTACTGCAAAGGTTTACATTCAACATGTATCACTTAGAGGTCAAAAATAGTGAACGCGTTAATAGCGAATTGAAATAGCTTGTTTCGATCATCCAGATATGACCACCAAGTATAACTCACCAGTTTTTGCATAGAATCTCTTTTTCTCTACTCAGCCCATATGTGTTATCTTGAAGTGCTGGACATCATACATGCTGAATAACATGATAGAACGAGTCAGTGTATACTAGGATGTAAATTCCACGTAAAATCTCACAGATAAGTTCGTCAACTAATGACAAATCTACAATTTCAGGGTCCAGTTTATTAGTACAGAATCGAGGAAGGTAACACTATCGAACTAGACAATATTTCTACACATCAATGCAGTTACCACGATGATAACGAGTTTTTGGTGTTAAGTCACGTCAGCGAACAATATATCATATTAATATCTCATGAAACTTGTAGGTTGAGATTTCGTTCCTTAGTTTTACTTAGTATCGTAGATGTGTTGATGCAATTTAACATTTTTCGTGTGGGTGGAGTGCGTGTCATATACACTGCAAAGAATCTGTAACGGCAATGGAATAATTCTGAACCCTAGCCACAAATCACCCTTGAAGCTAGATGTACACTAGCCACTGACCGGGAAAAGGCCAACAAAGTTGAGTGCGGATACCCTGAGACGAGACTTCATGAATCACCCCTACTTATATTAAACATATTATTTTATCTTATAACTTGCTTGCATTCTCCATAGGTTCTGATAAGATATACCGCTGACCGACACGTGGAGTAATTCGGCATAGGCAATACAGTTACATCCTTACAACCACATAGCACTGGATCAAGTTCGCTAATTTGGTAGCGAAGATAAGTGCACCAATAGCGACATACACCTTAATTCCATAAACTCAGTTTGGCAAAAAGCCTCCCATCAGAGTTTGTTTGAGCAAACTTTTAGGGAGAGAATAATAGATGAATAAATTTCAGGCTTCAGGATAACAATAAACCAATGTGTTTGTTCTTTTGACTTGATTGGTACTTTGGCCTGTTTCTGAGGTAATGTAAGCCATTTTTAGTGCAGACATTTTCTGTGAGTTCCCTATTTTCCTTAAGTTATGTATGAAATTCTAAGGAGACAATGAAACGTGTACATTGCTGCGCTGGTTAGATTCTGGAATTTGTTTAACGAAGTGTCCGCCGTCACCGTTAGGTCTTTCACATATTTCTGCTTGTCGGTTCCAATGTTTTTCATCACTACCGTGTTTGTTTTACTGTATTTGACTTGTGTCTTGACTTTCTCTGTTCTTGATCAACCGATGTTGACCGATGTATTCTGTTTTTTCGTCTCTCGAATCTTTCTCAAGGTATTCACAGAGATCACCTGTTCGTGTTGGTGATAATTCTGATCCAGCACTTGGCACTTTGATGTCATTGCTTCTTTGATTGCTTTTCAGTTGTTCTCCAAATCACTTTCCACTTTTTTGAGTAGACACTGTGAGACGTTTTGGGAAAGGGTTAGTACAAACTTATTTTGTGGAAATTTCTTGCTGTCATTTACATTTTTCGTAGCCTTACTTGTTCTGTGCGATTACTTTTATTGACTGCGGAAGTACTGTTTAAATTGAGCTTTACTGTTCTGCCGAAATTGTGTTCTCTGCTTGAATGACGTTGAACATCGTTCACAAATACATTGCAGTAGATATAATTCTCTTTATCATGTAATAAGCAGCTATGTTAATAAATCTTCAGTATAATTGTCATACACGTTTAAAAATCACACTAGTGTCCATAGAGCTGGTTGACGTTCATTGAAATTCTTGCCGTTTTTCTTTTGAATGGTACCATAGTGGCCATATAGCTGTGAGTTTTCCATCTTATAAGTCCTTTTCACGCTCTTTTGGATAGCATCAGTTCAACTCTTTTTGTGCGAGGGTCACTCTCTTTTATATGTGCAGAACAACACCGCACCTCTCCTGAAACCAGTCTTTACCGTTTGGCTTTCATCTTATGACCTCCGCTTATTCCAAGCACCGCTAAGTTTTAACTTCATGTTTATACAGCCATTTCAACAGATCTCCTGGTCCATCACATTGTAAGGAATGTCTCCTGTACCTATGTTAATTTTTTCTCTGATTGTCACAAATTTAACTAGCCTGGTGATCTTCGAAGAGTTTCAGCTCCCAAAATGAGGCGTCACAACTCATTACTGAAGACCTATCAATGCCTGGAACAGAGTTCGAATAGTTAAAACTACCCTGCTCCTTTATATCTACCTGCAACAAGCAGTTAATTTAGAAGAGTTTCAAGAGTACTCAAGGGCTTGAGAGCATAATGTTTACGATGGTAGACGCTGAAAGTCTACAACTTTGAAACAGATATATCCACAAGTACAATGAATGAATACAAAAATACTAAGATCGACAGTTGCTATGCAAGTTCACATAGATTAATGGGTGAGTATAACAAGCACAACAGTTGATGTTTAACAATATTGAACTATTGTAGGATATAAAACATTTTATATAGATATAACACCGGTTGCGGACAAAGATATCAGGATCAATAATTATGGTTCAGAGGTACAATGTCCCTGACAACTTTAATTCTGAGGTTCTTGCCACAGTTCCGCATCATAGTCATTTCGAAATTTTGGTTTACTTATTTCACTATTTCAACTGGTTCAAACTCAAATGTGGTTACTGGCCCCACAACTTACAAATCACTTTCGTTAAGGTGTTGACACCACTTATGGTCTGTCAGATAACATCTGACGGATAAAATATAAATTGGTTTGCGCATTTTGATTAAATCTTAGTCTTTTTGTAGATTCCAACTGATGATTTATATCGAACGTTCTAGGTGCAAATGAGCAGCTTCCCCGCCAGTAGTATACTTTGTTCCACTATATTTCCATCATGGTGACAGTAAATTACCATTTCACTCTTTAAGAATTTCTTTGAGTTTTATAACGACGTTTGAACTTGAAACGGTAGAATACATACTTGTAGTTCAATTCTCGGTTTTTCTAATCGGTGCAGACTTCTTGACGACGTTATGAACAAACGTTTACCGAAAATAATATATAGTTTTAGATAATACACCGTTTGCAGAAGATATATTGCCCCAATATTTCTCTGTCACGAAATTCCAATTTTTAAAGGTTTCCTTTACTGGACGATTCTTGTAAACTGGTACAACAATAAGGAACATAAACCATATTATGTATCATCTCTTGCTTGCATAGCAACTGACATCAATTCCTTTACTGAAACTCTAATCTGAAATTCGAAAATTAATTATTTCTATGAATGAGTAACCCTAGTATTAGATTGACA